CATAAGGCTACAAACTTCTAATTGTCTGTTTAGTCTAATATCATCAAAAGAGAAACTTTGTTCGTGAACCAAATTCAAAATAATAGCGTCAAACTTAACCCTATATTATTACACATGAATAGACAGCTCGCGAAAAGTACACTCCGAATATATAGTTTTCATTGAAATTTGACCAATTTTTAATGGAGTAATGGTCAAAATACTGCGTACACCTGGCAAAAAGTGACAGAATGAAAATAAGTTCAGTAATGTGTTGTTTGTCGACACGCATTTTGTCGACAGTCAGATTGTCGACAGATTATTGTCGACATGGTATTTCATCAATAGTAGCATATCATAAAAAAAAATAGAATATAACATGATGTTTCTGTTTTTATAGAACAACGTAAATATTCAAGAATCAGTTTATTGAAGACAGAAATGCACCGAAATTGACAGAAAACCGAGTGTCGGTCTCATTTAGATTCAGTCTTAGTCTATGTTAGTCTCCGTCGCACTCTCAGTTAATATTAGTACTAGCGAGGTGGAAGCAACCATTACAGGATCTCAGAATATATGAGGGGTAGTAAAGACATGGAAAAAACTAATTGCCGAAAAAAATCTCAAAAAATTTGGTTTCATGGATGGATCAGAAACAATGAAGAAATGGAATTTATTTGAAAAAAATTTACAAGACACTTATGAAACCAACACAGAGTTCAAAGCATGATAGGACTGACATCCATAGCGCAGCTGAGTGAGACTGAGAAATTCGGGCTCGGTGCATCCCTAGTTGCAGAACATTAACACACCAATATAATTTCCTTTCGACCAACAACATAGCATTCAATAAGTTCGATATATCAACAATGAAATGTATTTTAACTTTCTAAAAAGTTTGTTTTTGTCGACAAAATATAAGTAGATTTTACTAAAGAAAACTTGTCTTTAGCTAATGATAAGCGCGTTTCATGTTAGGTAAGGTCTAATTGAGCTGATATTTTCATGTTAGCTTCTATTTATGACGTCTAGTATATTTAAAAAGTTTCATCAAAATCGATGCAGATTTTCTAAAACCTCAAAAAATCCGGACTTGTGTTTTGTATCCCTTTCAAGATGTTCCTTAATATTGTTTGTCTGATAATAAAATAAAATCTTTTTTTTTAAACTTAACTAAGTTAGAAGAAAAATATGCGCACTCATTGCTTGACTACCGCGAAGTCTCTCTTATTCATATTAACGACATGTCATTTTCTTCAATTTCGATTACGAGTCACGGTTGTACAACAGCCTTCTTTACAAGTTCAACGAAAGTAGGATAAGACACATTTCTGGAGTAAAGAATTTATAAGATTATAGAAAAAAAAATGCTATTTGTATGGCTTTAAGCCTGAGAAGATCTTGAATAAAGATCATGATTTAGGCAACGAAATGTCCACACTATTTTGTCTTTTTACGTTCCACATACAAACTGTTTCCATCGAAATCTAGTCGATTATGCGTAAGAGCAACATGAGGCTCAATAAGATTCATTGTGAAAGGACCAGTTGGTACATTTCGATCGAATAGTAATACATATCGCCAATGATTTCGAAATACTTCGACTTCAAACTCATATCGATGCATTTCATCGAGAAAACGCTGTGCGTCAAAATATGTGCCCGATGGTAAATGACAATCAATATCGGCGGGCACTAAGTCTGGTACAATTTGAGGAAGTCCTATTTGTTGATTAAACGTTACCCATGTTCGTGGATTTGGATTTTTTGGACGCTTAATATGATTTTGTACTATTCTATCACGCACATAACTACCTTGAAGAAGACAACCATAATTGCATACAGCAATCCATGCTACAACGTCCATACGAGATTCACGGGAATTGTCATTGATTGCTTGCTTTAAATGGGCCCATGTGAGACTGGTATCGGTTATACGATTGATTCTTCTTTCAATATCCGGATCTCTACTTGTGAGCAATTGAGGTTTTCTTGTCGAGTTCTTTAGCTGCATCGAGTCACATTGAGTCAACCAGTAGACAAAAGAGTGAAATTCAGCGTAAATCAGTCGATAATCTTGTTCTCGGCATTGTGCAATTACCTTGCATGAAGAAGGTGGTTGTTTCTCCAATTTAATTTTGGCTTGTTTTTCATTACTCCAACGCCAAATCATCGGTAAAAGTATTGAGAGGTCTCGTAAAACAATAATAATGTTTGCTTTCAATTTCGGATGTTTTGTTAAATCTTCTGCATCGGGAAATATAAATTCGTATGTTTTCATTAATTGTTGTCGTATTTTTTGTTCTGCTTGAAGAACATCACCACCATGACCTTTGATTAAAATCTGATCGTCGTTTGTTGAACATTTAACATTTCCGTTGTTTGATAGTTTTCGTGATGATTGAAATGTTTTCATTTCACTCGTAGTTACATTCAACGGACGTTCTACTGTACCATGAAGCCATTCAGGTTTGAGAATTCCTAAGAAGGATAGAACGCAGGTAGAACGTACGGCCGTGGAACAAAGTGTATCTTTGGCAAATATAAGTAGTGGATAACTATCATCGGGAATGGTAGTAGACTTATGGAGTATTGCTGTTTGTTTACGTGAATCGTTGTCTTCCAGAGATATGTTATATCGATCATACTGTCTGTTTCTGCCTTGTAATTCACTAAGTGATACATATACATTCTCCCAATATCCATCAAGAAATGCTTGTGTTATGACACTCCATTGACCGTTAGATATTTGCGATTCTTTATGCCATACTTTTCCACGATTGATTGAAGATTCAAGTACTCGTAAACGACATAAAGCTCGACGAAGATTATGTTGAATATCTGTCATATCACTACTGTTGATACTCGTTGTTTGATTGATTAAGTCGTTCATAAGTACAAGCAGTGACATGTAATCTCCTTCGTCCAGTCGATGATACCGAGCAGGTAGTTTTTGAAAAATAGCTGAGGTATTTAATGTACTCAATAGAGATGCGATCAGTATGACATCTCGACCACATTTATACTTAGTTAGAGCAGCGTAGACTGATGTTGTTAGAGGCAGTGTTCCAAAATCGGGTAATTGAGCAATTTCTTCGCCTTTCTTCGTGAACATTCCATGATCATTGATAAGACCTAAATGTTTCAATTTTTCATTTGCTCGATCGATAATCTTTTTGTCTGGTTGATTCGGTAGCCATCGTTTGAAATCGGACAGATTTTGTTTTACTGGAGGTTTTCGTAAGGAAAAATCCACATCACTCAATTCCGATTGACATATTTGTGGTGTTGGGAAATGAGTACGTTTGGTATTGGATTTGTAAAGAGGAAAATATTCACCTGATTGTGTTCGTCCTAGTCTACCTTTTCGTTGTTTCAAAGTGGCTTCAGAAGCAGGTAGTCCTTCGAGTACCGTCGTATCTCTATATGGATCATAAATTGACATGTTGATCATGCCTGTATCGATAAGATATTTGAGACGGGGAAATGTCAGAGAAGTTTGAGCGACAGTAGTGGAGAAGAAAATTTGTTCTTCAGCAACGAGTCTTTGTTGTAGAATAGGTGATTGAAATTCTACCAGAGGAAATGCATTTATGTTCTTTAGTGTTTTGAGTAGAGTGATGGATTGTGTCACCTCTGAATTAGATTTAACAAAACATAAGATTTGTTCATTGTTTTGACACTTTTCCAGTAGACGCTCAATCAAATCAAACATATTGACATTTGAATTTGGATATATCTTTATTTCATAACGTAATTTCGATTCAATTTTGAGAGGAAAATAATCCTTTGATTCTGAAAATAGTCGTTCTACGGATTCATCCAGTGTGGCTGAGGAGAGAATGATTTTGACTTTGCCTTTAAGATCATATCGAAGAAGGCGAGCAAGCAATGCGAGACAAAGATCAATGTTAATCGAACGTTCATGAACTTCATCGATGAAAAATACGGTGCCCTGTGTGCTGCTGGCAAAATCATCAAGCAATCTCTCTTCGCAATATTGTAATAATTCTTTTAATAGACCATCAGTAAGATAAATAATAGATGTAGTCTCATTATTCTTTGAACGTGCACCCGCTACAGCCCAACCACTTATTTGACCTATTGTCGTGTTGACTCGAGTGGATATCGCAGTACAAGCAAGTCGACGAGGTTGTGTGACCATGATTCTATCATATCCGGCACCAGCAAGTAAGGCAGGTACGAGTGACGATTTACCCGAACCAGTGGCTGTAGAAATAGAGACGACGGTATGTTTCTCAATCTTGTCAAGAATATCATTGGACGATTTAAAAAGATCAAGACCGAGTTGAGCACACCGACAAAAGATTTCCACTCGAAGTAATAAGGATGCGATCAGATGCATCTGTTCTTTTTCGATGTTTGTGTTGAGCGAATCAGTTTCCAACAATAATCGGAGTTTGTCAAGATGTTGATCTGAATGAACAACGTAAGAAATGTAGACATTCGATGTAGGATCTTCTTGCTGTCACTACAGAATATAAGCGAGAAATGATTAAGTCAATACGATTAATTGAAAAAAGCGTCTAGTTTTATTTTCGTCTCTTAGAATTACAGGTAAGACAAAACGGATATCGTATGGTAAGTAAATACAAGAAGAGGGCTACAACAATGTCGAGATATTTCTGAGATTAGAAACGACTGCTATTCGATTGTTCTAACAGAATTTGTTTCATTCAGATGCGAAAATTCGTGCAAAAAAAACTATTAGTTTTAGACGGCAGATGATAAATAGTAATACCTTTCTCTTCCACTCTAGTAGTCGTAGAAAGAAACACGTTCACATTTTTTCAGACGCTTAATATCGTCTCAATACTAAATAATTTCTTTATTTTCAGTATTGTGATTCGATTGTGCGTACACCTTGATTCTGACAAAAACTTCTATAAAATAATTCAAAGACTTTGCTGCGATTTCTAGGTCCTTTTCGATTTTTCGATACACCCACAACACGGTTTTTATACCCTTTCGCAAAAATCACTCTTGAGGCTAGAGTGATACGTCGTTCTAAAACCATTACGACGAATCTTGCTAATATATATAAGTGCTAAGTCTTCAACTAAGTATAAATCTTTTTACTATTATCACATCTTTCGTCTGCATCACATTTAAATAGAAAATGTTTTATATTTTAACTTACCTAATACTTGATCGACTTGTGCATCGTTCTTCTCACATTTCCATTTTTCTTTCGATTGTTTGATGAATATTCGGAAAGTATCTATTTTCATATGCTGAAAAGTTTGCTCAACAGCATGCTCTTGAAAGTAGTCTTTTGCATATTGATTTAGTTCATTACACCAGTCGTCTTCATTCTTGATGCCGCCTTTAACCACTAAAGAATGACATTTGTAACTGACAGCTCTATTGAATTGTTCTTTTGCTTCTTTTTCATTATCTTGAAGTAACTTCTGCACAATTTTTAAATATACATCACCTCTCTCTGTTTTCATACTTTTGCATTTCGAAATGTTTGTTAAAAACTTGTCAGTAGCGAATTCGATGTCGTGAGCAAAAATCTCTTGTTGATGAACAGTACAATGAACAAGAGCGTGTAGCCGTTTAACGATATTTTTCATTTCACCATGATGCATCTTGTGCCCATCTAATCGCCAACGTGGTGGAGTATTCTGGATGACACCAATTTCAATTGGTTCATCACCTCGTATTTCATTCAGATGGGCATAAACGTCTTGAGGTTTTACTGAAACAAGATCTGTACGCGATGGTAAATCATATTCACCTGAGAATGCTTTTGCCTGGATTGCTTTATCTTCCTTTGCAGTTGTGTTTGTATTGTCTCCTATCTGACTGGACGAGGGTGCTTTGAAAGAAGCTGGTTTACGTTCTAGAATAGGAGATGTTCTTTCATCTTGCAATGAGGCTTGT